AGCCCAGGCGCCAGATTTCCCGAGACTTCCCGAGTGTCTCTCGGAGTCTCCCGAGTGTGCCCGCACGCTGTCGTGTGACACGTTCGGGGCCAAGGAGGCCTTCACGGGCCACGAGAGCTCCGTGAGGCCCCCGAGACGGTCCAGGGGCGGCCCGAGTCGACAAGGCATCGCCCCAAGACGGCCCAGATTGCTTCCATATGGCCCACGAGGCTCCCAAGACGTTCCACGAGGGCTCCAAGGAGGCCCCCCAGAAGCAAGCATCACGGATGATGCTCAATGGATGTTTGGAGGATGCGTTTTCTCGCCTCTTCGGGCTTCCGACGCTCCAAGACGGCCGAGGAGGCCCCCGAGATGGCCACAAGCCTGCCCAAGAGGTTCCCAAGAGGGCCCCCAGACGGACCAAGATGGCACCGAGACGGCCCAAGAGGCTCCAAAGGCCCCCCAAAGGGGCCCTGAGAAGCTCCGGAGAGGGGCCCTGAGAAGCTCCAAAGGGGCCCCGAGAAGCTCCGACGCCCCAAGACGATCCCCGAGACCGCCAGCAGGCCCCCAGGAAGCCCCCATAGGCTCCAGGTCCCCAAGAGGCCCAAATCCGACCCCAAGAGAGCAGCAAGAGATACCCGAGAGGCCCTGAAGAAACCCCACATCCGCCTCCAAAAGGCTCCCGAGAAGCCTCCAAGAGATCCCCGCAATCATTTAAGAGGCCTCTGTTCTACAAACTAGGCGCGGTGGCGGACGAGCCGAATCCCATTAGATTACCCTCCTCTGCCCTGGTGACCTCCTTGACCTCGTCCTCTGCCTTCTCATTTGCCTCTGCCTCGGCGGCCTCCAGTGCCTTCCTGGTCTCATCTGCCTTCTTACCGTCCTCTGCCTCGGTGGCCTCCTGCCTGGTCGCCCTAGGGCATCGGAAAAAGCACGTCCAGATAGCAGTCGGGGGAGGCGGCCCAACCACAGTGCAGCGCAGCACGTCCCCGCTCGCCCGAGGAGGTCCTCCCAGAAGTGCCTGCCAGAAGGGCGGCCGTGGCTGCGGTTTGCGAGATGGCACTCGCCGCTGGAGCCACCAGCCTCCGCGCCTGGGCCGAGGCCCTCCCCGAACCGACCTCGACCCGATGCCTCGGTCCGACCGCAAATCCCGATGCGGTCCGGAGGCAGACGTGCCTCACGGCGCCCGCGGCCGCCGGGCCACCCATCGTGCGGCGGCGGCGGGCCGTGCGAGCTGATGCTGGCGGCCCCCCCCCGGCGGGCTGGAGCGGTGGAGGGATTCCCGCAAACGGCCTTCCCGCTAGTCCTCCTCCTCCTCCTCCTCCTCCTCCTCCCTCCTCCTCCTCCTCCTCCTCCCCTCCCCCTCCCCCTCCTCCTCCTCCTCCTCCTCCTCCTCCTCCTCCTCCTCCTCCTCCTCCTCCTCCCTGCTTTCGCCAAAGATCTCCCTTCTCCTCTCCTTCTTCCTTCCTCTCCCTGTCAGTTCCCGTTCTCCTCTTCCTCCTCCTCCTCCTCCTCCTCGTCCTCCTCCTCCTCCGTCCTCCTTCTCCTCCTGCTCCTCCTCCTTCTCATCCTCCTCCTCCTCCTCCTGCTCCTCCTCTTCCTACTCCTATTCCTACTCCTCCTCCTCCTCCTCCGCCTCTCCCGCTTCTCACTTCCTCCATCTCCCCCTCCCAATACGGCTCCTTCACCTTCCGCCCCCTCCTTCTCCTCCTCCGTTCCCCCTCCTCTCCTCCACCCTCCGCTTCTCCTCCCCACTCGACGACGACGACGACGACGACGACGACGACGACGACGACGACGAGGACGAGGACGAGGACAACGACGTCGACGACGAGCTCCCCTAGCGGCCGGGCCGATTTAGCGCGAAGAGCAAAGCGGGCTCGCCGTGGTCGACCTCGTCGTCGTTCGTTGTCGGAGCGGCCATTGACGCGGTCATCGAGAAGGCGGGGAGGACGCAAGCATGAATCGAAGAATCGAGGGCCCAACTTGTTTGACTTCTCTCTGTTTGTGAGCTGGACTTCTCGTCGCCATGCTTGGGTCCGCCTCGGTGTCCTGGTCAAAGCGCTCGACTTCCTGGCCAGACCGTCCTCGTCAGCGCAGTCGTCGACGAGGCGAGCCTCGTCGTCGGCGTCGGAGTCATCGTCGACCTTGTCATCGCCGTCTTCGCCGACATCGTCGTCGTCGTGGTCGACATTGTCGTCGTGGTCGTCGTCGTTTGCGTCGTCGTCGACCCCGTCGTCGTCGTCGTCGTCGTCGTCGTCGTCGTCGTCGTCGTCGTCGTCGTCGTCGTCGTCCCCGTCCCCGTCCCCGTCCCCGTCGTCGTCGTCGTCGTCGTCGTCGCCGTCGTCATGAGCGGATGCCTTTTTGTCGTCCTCCCCGCCGGCGTGCCCGATCACAGCGACGGCGTGGTCGCGGAGGGGCGAGGGGGGCAAGGGCGAGGGAAAAAGCGAGGCGGGGGAGGAGCGGGGACCCAGCTGGGAGGGAAGGGGGGGTGGGGGGCAGACGGAGCGAGAGCGGAGGGGGCTGCCCTTGGTGCCTCCGCTCGGCCTCGGCTCGGCACTGCCGCGCCCAGAGCGCGCGCCAGCAGGTGCCGAGGCCGCAAGAAATTTGGGACTCGCGCCCGACGGCGAGGACAACAGCGCCGACGAGGGCGGCGACGACGACGACGACGCCCTCCGCACCTGGGACCTCCGAGGGCCTCCCAGAGGGGCTGGGCGCCGCGGCCGGCGTCCTCGCCGCTGCTGAGGAGTTCCAGGTCGCAGATGCTGTGGCCTGAGAAGGCGGCGGCGGCCGGTGCCGAGTGTCCCAGAACCCAGACATGATCGCGTCGCAAAAAACCAGGACGGGAATTTGTTCGCTCACTTCGGCCCCTGGGGTCCCTCGCCGGGCCCCGGGACTGTCAAACAAAGAACTCAGGCTGAAAAGCCGGTCCCTGGGGGGAAAGGGTCGGGAATTTTGGGGGACGCCGTGCTGCGAAGATCAGGACGTCGCACGTCTCGGAACGGGAGCCCCAACCGAACCCACGGGAACGGGAGGCACCTGGCCCACCGAGGCACCTGGCCCACCCGGGCCAAACAGAGCACCGAAAGGGCGCAGCCCCACCGCCAAGGCCCAGCCAGACGACGGGGGGTGGCCACGCGTCAGCCTGGAGCCCGGCACCCGCAGGTGGGGAAGGGCCCCCCTGGGGGGGGGGGCAAGAGCAGGGGCGGAGAGGCAAGCGAGGCGCGCTCGCGCCACGGGACATCCCACCCGTCCCACCCATCCCTTCCCGTTGCGCCGATGCTCGTCTCTATCCGCGGGCGCATCGCGTTATGCGGAATCAGGAACGGGGAGCTGCGTACATACGAGGAGGTGGCAGACGAGCAGGAGGATGAGCAGGAGGAAAGGGAGGATGGAGTAGGACGAGGGCGAACAGCAGCAGCAATAACAGGAGTTGAAAGAGCGGGAGGAACAAACGGACAAACGATGATGAAGGACCCGGAAACAGAAGTATGGCCCGCGCTGGGGCGAGAGCGCCAGCCTGAACGATGGGAGCTAAGCCCCGATCCACAATTTTTGGAAGGACCGGGAACGCTCGGATTAGAGAACGCAGAAGAAATCCGTCACCGTACCTTTGGCGTGTAGCAGAGTGCTCCAAAAATCATGCAGCTCTGCGAGGTAAACAGTATGTGGTTCTTAAGGGCCCGGAGCCCCAGCTTCCCAAGCGCTCCCTGGCGTTACTGCGACCGTGGGGTGTGTCGCCTGGGCTTTTGGGACTCAGAGAGAGAGCCCCCAAAACGGGCTAGGAGGATCCCAAGAGGCTCCCAAGACGGTCGAGGAGGGTCCCGAGTTGTCGAAGGATCAGTCCAGGACTCCCAAAATGGCCTCGAGACGGCCGCAAATGCCCCCAAGACGCCCCAATATGCCTCCAAGAAGCCTCCTAAGAAGGCCCCCAAAGGCAAAATATACCATTGTCCTCAAATGTATTGGAAGATTTTGGCATTCTCGCCTTTTCGGCGTCCCGACGGTCCAAGACGGACAAAGAGGCGTTCAAGACCGCCCCAAGATGGCCCAAGACGCCTCCAAACGGGCTCCAGAACGGCCCAACAGGCCCCCTAGACGGCTTCAAGAGTACTCGGCCCCCAGATCACCCCAGGAGGCCCCAAGATGCCTCCAAGAGGCGCCCACAAGCCCCCAAGACACCCCGATGGGCCCCCAGAAAGCCCCAAGAGGTCCCACAAAAACTCCCGAGAGGCTCCCAAGAGGCCCCCAAAGTGGACCCCAGAGGTTCCCGCGAGCGCGAAAATCCGATGGGAAAGCGCCCATGTTCAGCAAATCGGTTCCAAGAGGGGGCCCAGACGGGAGACCCGACATTTTGAGCACACGGCACCTAGAAACCCCAAGGAGACCCCTAAGAGGCGCCCAAGACGCCCCCAGGAAGCCCCCTAAGAGGCCCCCAGGATGCCCCAAGAGGCCCCCGAGGCTCCCCCGAGGCCCCGAAGAGGCTCCCCAGCGGCCCCCAAGAGGTCCCAGTTGTGCCCCCCCGAGGCTCCCGCGAGCGCTCCAAATAGATTCCCCAAAACATAATAACCCCTAATTAGGGACACCGTGCATTGTAGCAAGTTGTTTTTTTTGCTTGTCGTCACCATGTCAACGACCACCCAAGTGTCCCCTCAGATCGCCTCAAAAAGGCCCAATGAAAACCTAAGTCCAAGAGATGCCGACAACCGCGCCACGAGGGCTCCGAGACAGCCCAGGAGCGAGCCCCCCCCCCCCCCCGCACCGTTTTTACGTCGCAGCGCGGCAGAGGCGTTCCGTACGCGCTCTAGTTGGCCGGTAGCGGGCGAACTGAGTGTCCGACAGCAGGAGGGGGGAAGGAGGCGGAGGGCGGCAACGAGAGCCGGGAGAAAGACCCCCCCCCCAAACACGAGGACTTCTCCAGAAGGCATGTGGCCCACGACTCAGGCCAGGGGGCCGGACGGAAGACCCCCCCCCCCAAACACGAGGACTTCTCCCAAAGGCATGCAGCCCACGACTCAGGCCAGGGGACGGGACGGGAGGCACGCCACCACAGGTATTAACTTGTAAAGTTCGGGTGTGCGTAACGCAACAACGCACGGAGAGGGTAGAACACTCTCAACACGCCTTTTGGGGGAGAGGAGAGGATGAGTCATATCATATTTTCAATGGAAATAACGCCCTGTGCGTGTTTGTTCCCTTTGGGCTCTTGACAAGCGGAAAACGCCAAAACAAACACGCTGCGGTTTGCAGTGCCATTGAGACGTGTGTCTGGCATTTTCAGGCCCGTGGCTGTGGATCTTCGGCTCCTCCTTGCTCTTCACTGCCGTCTCTGCTCCCGCTCTCCCGTTCCTGCCGCGTCCCGGTCACCCCGCTCCGCGCGCACAGCCAAAAAAACACCCGAGCAACGCCCCAACGCCAATCTAACTCCGGCGCGGGACGGGCCTGGAGGCCCCGCGAGCAGCCAGCAGCGACGACCCAAGAAGAGCACGATGACGACAGCAAAAATATCAGGAGGACCGGACGCGAGGAGGAAGAACTCAGGACGCGGAAGACGGCAGTGTTGAACAGCGCAATGAACTGATCTAAAAGTGCAAAGAAGAACTCACATCGCAAAATGATTACCGACACGCACATAAAAAAAACGGTGGAAAAAGAGCTCAGGGCATGAACTACGCTCACACTGTGTGCGTGTGGAGGGGGGAAGGGGGGGGGAGGGGGGCGAGAGGAAGGGAGGGGAGAGGAGGGGGGGGGGGGAAGGAGTAAAGGCGCGCGGGGGGAGAGGAGGGGGCCGCCGAGAGGAGGCGGGGGGGAGGGGGGGGGGGAAGAAAGGGGGGAGAGCAAGGGGAGGAGGGTGGGGAGGAGAGGAGGGGGGGGAGAGGAGGGGAGAGGAGGAGGTGGGGGAGAGGAGGAGGGTGGGAGAGGAGGAGGGAGAGGAGTGAAGGGAGCGCGCGCGACCGCAGAGGATGTCGGGGACGGCCGTGGCCGCCGAAGGGCCTCCGACGCCGCGCGCGTCGCGCGCGGGGGCGCCTCCGACGCCGCCCCGCAGCTCCGCAGGCCTGCCGCGCCACCTGCGGGGGGGGTGGCCGCAGGCGGAGGAAGCGAAGGCTGTGGCACGACGGGGTCAGCAGCATCGTCATCGTCGTCGTCGTCGCGGTCGTCGTCGCGGTCGTCGTCGTGGTCATCGACGTCGTCATCACCGTCGTCACCACCACCACCACCACCACCACCACCATCAGCAGCAGCAGCAGCAACATCATCATCGTCCTCGCCATCGTCATCGACATCTTCAGCATCACCACCACCACCACCCACCACGATCACCAACCGCATCCGTATCCGCATCCGCATCCGCATCCGCTTCAGCAGCATATAATCAACATCATCATCATCCTCCTCCTCCTCCTCCTCATCACCATCACCATCACCATCACCAGCACCAGCATCATCATCAGCAGCATCATGATCATCATGATAACCAGCATCAGCATCAACATCAGTATCAGCATCAGCATCATCCTCGTCGCCATCATCATCATCATCATCATCATCATCAACATCATCATCATCATCATCATCACCACCATCACCATCATCATCATCAGCATCAGTATCAGCATCATCATCAGCAGCATCATCAGGATCATCATGATAATCAGCATCAGCATCAGCATCAGCATCATCGCCATCATCCTCCTCATCATCATCATCAGCAGCAACATCATCATCAAGAACAACATCATCAAACTGTGCACGACGGGATCGCGGGCGAAAGACATATCCGAGTCCGCGGCCTCGCGGGCCGGGCTCCCGGGCCGCGACCCCGCGGATACGACGAGGCGTTTCTCGCGGATGGCCCGCGCGGGCCGCATCTGTGCGACCGCGCATCCGCGGGATCGCGCCGCGAGGGCGCGGATACTCTAAGGGGAAAACAAACCTCCCTCGCTTTTGACCACCCTCGCTTCCAAGAGATACCAAACAATGCCAAATTGCGGCCTGTACTGGTCAGGACGCTTGACGAGGAGGCGCGTGGTATGGCTTGGTTTTGCCTGGAAGCGAAAGCGGGGGAGGTAATTCACGCTCTGATACTCGGCGGCGAGCCCAGGGGGGAAGTGAGGAAGGGGCGGGCCCTCTAAGAATGCGCGGAAGTCCCCCAGCCTTCTGAGAAGCTTCATAAGCCTCCCCGAGGACACAGAAAACCTGTGAGAAGGCGCGAGGGCTTCTAAGAAGCCCCGGCGCCTTCGGAGAAGGGATTCTACTTCTCATTTCCCCCCTCGCTTGCCGCCGAGATACGGGTATGCGCACTGCTCGTGAGGAACGCGGTGCTGCCCTGATCTCCGAAGATACGTTTCACTTTCAATCCCGGCGTGCGTTTCATCGATTTAGTTCTCTGCGGCCCGTTTTCGGGCCCCAGTGCCGACAGAAGCGGACACAGGGCACAGAGATTACCTCGAGGGAAGCGGTCGGGACCTCTGGGGCCACGCTTTGAAACCCTCAGGTCTGCGGACGTCAGGATGAAGGGAAGGGGCCGAATCCGATGTAGTGCCGAATCCTATGCATTGCTCCCGCTCCTTCTCCGCGGCCGGTGTCGGCACAGCCCGAAAAAAACGCCACAACGGCAGAACAGCCTCGCTGACCGTGTCCGACCAGCCATAGCTGGGGGAGCTGTGGTCCTTACCCCCCTGGGGGAACCCATCGCATCGACGATCTCTCGAGAGGGGTGTCGAAATCGATGGGTCCCCCAGGGGGGTAAGGACCACAGCTCCCCCAGTTGTGGCTGGCCTGCGTGTACACCCGCGAGCAGAGGGAACGTCGAAGAGAATGCAGTCGAGAGCAAGCGTATTTTGCTTGTGGGAGGAGATGGGGTCCTGGACGTTGTCCCTCGCTCTCAAGCCCGTGGGTCCCTGCATGGACCCAGGGGGGTGTCTTTGTTGCATATGTTTCTTCCGTTGTCCACTTGCGACGCCCATGAACAAAGGACGTCAGGAACATCTCGCTGATACGTCAACACTTCTGTGCTATAACGCGTTGAAGACACACAAAACAAGGCAGGCGGGCCACGGGCCCATCCAGGAAGTGGAAAAGTGAACAACACGGCGCGCAAGACTTGCGAACAACATTTGGACAAAAACGCTTCCCGCGCTATCCAGGACCGTCAGAAGACTACCCTGGTTGAAGAAGTGGTCCTGGGGGGGGCAACCATGGGCCTAGGACCCGTTTCACTGAGGACCCCTTGCCTCTTTGGCGACGATGTCCGGGAGTGGTCATGGCCCAGTTCTGCCACGATCGCCTTTTCGGAGCAACCCACTCGTAGAAATACGCGTTACTCCGACGACAGCACGACCAGGCATGGCCGCAAGGATTGCTTGATTGCTTGATTATATTGACAAGAAAAGGGTCTTTTCGCATCATGTTGGGGCTCCCGGAGCCCTCGCGGCCTCGAGTGGTGCTGTAAATGCCTCCAGGGCTCGTGCGCGGGGTGACGCTGGCGTGGGGCTGGGCACGGAAGAGGGCTGGGGAGGTAGGTTATGCTTGGGTTGAGTATCAGCGTCCGCGTCTGCACGCCGTGCGGAGGAAACAATGCTCGGCGGCGAGCCCGGGGGGGGAGTGAGAAAGGGCGGGCCTTCTCAAAAGGATCGGAAGTCCCCCGGCCTTCTGAGATGTTTTCGGAGCCTTCCCCGAAGGCACGCCCCGCCGCCTTCTGAGAAAGCCTTCTCATTCGCACTTACCCCTTTCGCTCGCCGCCGATGAAGAGCCGGACTTACGCGGGACGTCGGCGTCTGGCGTCGTCTGTAGGGAGGCGCTGACGCATAGGAGATCGGACCTTGCATTCTCGGACACGCCCTGACGAGCGAGGACACGCTCGACAGTCATCTCATCCGCGGCAATCCGCGAGACAGCCAAAACGGCACGCCTTGCCCACTTTCGTGGGCTAGCGTTCCCCGTTGAATTGGGACTGTCTGCACCATGTGTATCCCACAAGCCCGACAGGCCAAAGACTCTTCTCAGACAGTCCAACCTGTGTGAGGAACGCTAGCGGGGTGACACAATATTGAACACACGTGCCTCGCGGTCATCCGGGAGCTTCAGACGTTCTTGCACAGACCAAAGCTGACATCGTACATCTTGCTACGCTCGCACGTGCCAAGAACCTGCGAGTGCAAACGTAGTCACCAGGGAGGGCACACACCTTCAAAACACTCGCATGGTCGGGATGTACTGCCCCTGTTTGAAGCAGCCACTCCAGCAACATGATGCTTCATGACTCTTCTCCTGAACGAAGAGGAGCCTGTAGCAGGATGAGCAGCAGGAAGCCAGGCAAGAGAATCACCAGCAACGGGAGCATGACGAGTAGCAACAGGGTTGGACAAGGTGTCGTGAGCGTGCAGGCTACATGGGGCAGAACCCCCCTCCGCAGAGCACATCAAGGCTGAACCTTCGTTGCGAAGTTTCGACGGCATGAGCACAAATGTTCTGAAGTCCGAATGGGATTCTGGGGCGCTGAACCTCCTTCCCTGGGGCGCCGGGCGCGCCAGGGACGGCGCCAGAGGCGCTGACAGGAGGAGGTAGAGCACCGATCCCAGAAATCCACGCGGACCTCCGAGTGTTTATGCGTATGCGGCCTTTCTTTTTGGACCATCCCTCCTTACCTTCCACTCCTCATGAGCCCTCTCCACCCCATCCCTCCACCTCTCCCTCCCTTCACTGCCTCCCCCGCCAGACGTCCGAAAGTTCCTGTATCTGCCGATGCATCATCTTCGATCGCTGGCCCTCTTCCCAAAGACTGAGGGAGGGGATGCGGGACGCGAAAACGACCACAGCCACTGCTTTTCTTTTGTTGCCGCCTTCCAGCCACAAGAAACAAAGCAGTGGTCGTGGTCATTTTCGTTAAGCTTGGCACCAGGAAAATGACCACAGCCACTGCTTCTTTTTCTGGCCGGCTGGAAGGCGGCGCAGACAAGAAGCAGTGGCGGTGGTCATTTTCATGCCCCGCAGAGGAAACGTTGGGGGGTGACCAACTCAAGGGAGGAGCCGTCGACCTGGATCGCTGGCCCTCTTCCCAAAGACTGAGGGAGGGGAAACGTTGGGGGGTGACCAGCTCAGGGGAGGAGCCGTCGACCTGGAAATCGGCGACACGTGGCCGATGCCTCGGCGATAGGCCCGCGCTGGCACATCCGCACGGTCGTGGGCGGTGTGGGCTGTCGGCCCCCCATCTCTGGAAGGCGGCAAGGGGTGTGGTGTAAAGGGGTGTGGTGCGGACGCCCTGCCTGCCCATAGTCACAACGATATGGGCGACCCCACTCGGGGATGGACAGACCCCCCTTTAGCAAAACGTGGTTTAGTGAAAACGACCTGAGGCCCAAACCTGGCGGGCGCAAGCCTGGAAAATGACGGCCCTGGCGCCCTCTCGAGAACCGAAAACGGACAATTCGCTAATCGACGTGTCACTGTTGGGGGTTCTGTCCAGCCCCGATCCACTGCGTTGCCATATGCGACACCTGCGGCCGAATCTCCGACAGCATCGGAGATCAATGGGCGATTGGGGGCCGATGCGTCCCCCCCTGAGCCTAGTTCTCCCTTCAGACGTTCCCCCCCGCGGCTCTTTCGGGCCATAACTGGAGCCACCGTCGGTCGTTCGGGATGATCCGGACATCCCTGGAGCGCCCTCGGCGAGGCGCAGCCGCTGGAATTAAGTCGGGCGTGTCCCTCTACAGGGAAATTTGGGCGAACAAATAATCAAAAAATACCACCCAAATATTCAAAAATTGTCCCAAAATCGTCCCCCTATTCTTTTTCATGACTATTTTTGAATATTCCCCCTGTAGAGGGACACGCCCGACTTAGCGCTGGAGGGCATCTCGAGGCCGCAAAACCACAGGAAAGCCACCTCGCCATCGCTCGGACGTCCATCCCCACATGCTCAAGGCTGCTCCTCGACTGCCCTCGCCGGGGGAAAAATGCACACGTCCGAGCGATGCCGAGCCACGGGAGCGCCGAAACTGCCTGGCGAGTCCGTCCGACGAAGGCGTCCGACGGAGGCGAATCTGCCACCCTCCCACGCTGCCCCGGCAAGCCGGCCCTCCTCCCCGCTCGGCGGCCACGGGCGCGGCGGCGGCGGCGGCCCGCGGCGCGCGCGCGTGCGCGGCGCCGCGCGCGCGGGGCGCTCCACTTCGACATCCCCGACCAGATCGTGATCGACTCGCCGAAGCCGCTGCCTGGCGGCCACGCCGCTGACCGGCGACGGCGTCGATGAAGGGGCCCACAAACACACAAATAAATACACACACATAAAAGGATTCCCCATCTTTTCGCCTATGTTTAGGGGTTTCTTGTCTTCTCCACCACCTCCCATATTTTCCCACATTTTCCTGGGAGTCGACGACTAATTGTGTCTGTGTGTTTCTTTCTGGGTAGTCGAAGCCAATCTGGCGCCGATCTGGCAGGCCCAATCTGGCAAACGGGGGCAATCTGGCGAGGGAGCCAGCGCGAATCCAGTCTGGCGAAGAACCCAGATCATCCAGCTTGGCCAGGCCAGACTGGCCCGTGGGAGAGGAATGGGCGACCTCCTCCTCCTCCTCCTCCTCCTACTCCTCAGCCTGCGTCTGCTCCTGCGTCTGCTCCTGCTCCTGCTCCTGCTCCTGCCTCTCCTCCTCATCCCCCTGGTCCTCCCCATCCTCTTCCTCCTCCTCCTCCTCCTCCTCCTCCTCCTCCTCCTCCTCCTCCTCCTCCTCCTCCTCTGTGGGGCCCAATCCAATCTGACAGTCTGGCCTTCGACTACCCAGCCTCTCCCTCCCGAGTCGACGCCGCCGCCCGGGCGGCCAGGAGCGCCGCCGGGCCGCGCCCGAGCCACCCACAAACGCCCTTGCCCGACGGCGGCGGGGGTGCCGACGGCGGCCACTGCCACGGCGGCGGCCACTGCCACGGCGGCGGCGGCGCACGGGCGACTCCAGTACTCCAGATTTCGTAATAAAGGGAGGGGGGTCTCATTTCGGGGGGGGTCTCTTCCAGGCTATCTTCCCACGGGGGAGGTCTGAAATGGCTTGTCTTGGAGGGCGCACGGGCGGCTCCAGGACAGTCGAGGCGTTGACCTCAGGAACCCTAGAGAAGGAACGAGGCCCCTTTTTTCCACATAAGTTGAACTTCGATTTCCCATCGAAAGCAGAAGGAACACCTGGGGCAAGCTGTGAAACACTTGAGGGACGCGGAGCCCCTCCGCAACGGAAAAGGGTTCCTTCCTCAGCGCCCCGACTGTGCGCCTTTGACCAGGCGCAGCTGATGGGAACCACCCCAGGCCGCGAAAGTCTCCGACAAAACTTCCGATGACCATCGGAAACGCTCGCAGCCCGAAAACTCCGAGGCCTTCGGAATCCTTCGAAGACCTCGGACAAAAACATACTCGAACACCCGACATGGGCCTGAGGGGGAACGCTATGGGGGACTAGTTCAGGGGGGAGCCATCGACCTGGAATCGGTGATACATCGCGGATGGATCGGCGATACGTCCGCGATAACAAATCCGCAGGGTCGTGGGCGGGGCTGGCTATCGGGCCCCTATCGGGGATCAATGGGCGACCCCCCCCGAACCGATCCCCTCCTTCACACGTTCCCCCTGGCAGCTTTCGGGCCAGCCTCCAGCGGCCGTTCGGGGATATCCTGGCACTCCTGGAACGTCCTCGGCGAGACGCAGCCGCAAGGAAAGCACCCCGAGGCTGGAAAACCACCGAGGGGCAACGAAGACGTCCGACGAAGACGTTGCCCCCTCTAACGCTGCCCCTGAAGACTCGACCTCCACTTCGACATCCCCAGCCACATCGCGATCGACTCGCCGACGGCGCTGCCTCCCCTATCAGCGCTGCCCCTGAAAGACCTGCAGTGCCCCACCTTCGAGCCGCCGACTCCCGTCACGTGACCAACCGCCCGTCTGAAAAAACGTCAGACGATACCGTCCGACGTGAAAGGTTCCGCCCTATCCACCTAGACATCCGGCTGTGGGCCCCCATTAAGGTCTGGACCACTTCCCTCTGGCCGGATTTCCGTTCTGAATCGTTTTCGTTGACGGCCCCAGGGCCCGGCGAGGCCTCCCGGAGGCCGACCCACTGCCAAAAACCGCCCGCTCCGATGTGTTTTGGAGCGTCGGATCTCTGGGAGCGCTGCCCCCGACGCTCCCACGTGGCCGACCGCCAGCGGGCGTTGCGCCGAGCGGGCGCCGCGCGGAGGGCCCTCGCGATTGACCGCCCCGGCTGGTCCTCCAACCGCTCCCAGGCGCTCCCAAGAAATCTCCAGAGCTCCTCAGCCCAAGCGCTCTTCAGCGCTCCCAAGCGCTCCCAGGCGCTCTCAAGGCGCTCCCAGGCGCTCTTGCTTGCAAGTGCTCCCAGGCGCCCCCAAGCGCCTCCAGGGGCTCCTGGGCACTCCCATGGGGAGAGGGGGGAGAGACACAGAGCAAGAGTGACGAGGGAGGGAGGAGAGAGGAGGGGAGGGGGGGAGGGGGAGGAGGGAGGAGGGAGGGAAGGAGGGAGGAGGGGAGGAGGGGAGGAGGGAGGAGTAACGAGAGATAGGAGGGAGGGAAAGCAGGGAGAAGAGGGGGGAGGGGGGAGGGGGAAGAAGGGACGGCGGACACCAGCGGGAGGGGAGAAAGCATGGAGGAAGGAGGAGGAGGAAGAGGAGGAGGGGGAGGACGAGGAGGGGAGGAGGAGGGGAGGAGGGGAGGAGGGGAGGAGGGACGGAGGAGGAAGGAGAGAAGAGGGAGGGGGGGGAGAATTTCATCCTCCTGCATCCTCCCCCGTCCTCCATCATCCGTCCCCTGTGCTCCCTCCTCCTACCTCTCCCTCCTCTGAGGAGACGTCGACAAGCATGGCCGATGGTAGCGACCACGACGGCGACGAACGACGACCGGCAACCGACGACGGCGCAAGACGCACGACGCACGACGAAGACGGCGACGACGTCAACGACCAAGGACCTCGGCGTCGGCTCCGAGCCCCCACGACGCGCGACAACGACTACAGTCAAGCTACTGCCACAAGAAATGTTTCGTAAGGAACGAAGCCCCGTTCTGGCCCCAGAACCGGCTGGGTGCGCGCGGAACAGCTACGGACGGCAAGGCAAGGTAAAACCGCTGGAGGCTAACAGAAAATTGCGAAGAGCAAACAAACGCACCGCTCGCTCACGCTGCTTTATTTAGCCCCTGCGCAGGCACGAATTCGCCTACCAAGCCCCTACGGTGACGGTGAGCCATGGACGGACCTGAGGAACGGCGAGCCCGAGCCCCCTCCGAACCCGATCTGATCCCCACCCCTGCGTCTTCACTGCACCACGACGACGAGGAGGACGACCACAGACGACGGGAACGGACGGACGGACGGACACCGTCACCCAGGAGGAGGAGGAGGAGGAGGAGGAGGAGGAGGAGGAGGAGGAGGAGGAGGAGGAGGAGGAGGAGGAGGAGGAGGGGGAGGAGGAGAGGAGGAGGAGGAGGAGGAGGAGGAGGAGAGGAGGAGGAGGAGGAGGAGGAGGAGGAGGACGACACCTGGCTTCCGGCCCATCACTCGGGCCTCGGGCGGCCGCTCGGGACGATCCAGGCACCCCTGGAATGCTCTCGACGAGGCGCAGCCGCTGGAAGCCAGCCCGGGTGCCGCAGACCTCCGACGACGAGCAGACGACCTCCGAAGACGTGGAGACGACCACGGACGACCCTGACACCCGGCTGCTGCAATTCTTCGATGCTGAAGGGGCCACAGGACACACAAATAAATACACACAAATAAAAACATCCCCCATATTTTTCCATATTTTCTGGGTTTTTGTCTTCCCCCCCACTTCCCATATTTTCCTATATTTTCCTGGGAGTGGACGATTAATTGTGTCTGTGTGTTTTTTCCCTCCTGAAATGCGTGGGCCCCGGAGGTCCGGACCACTTCCCCAGGATGGCCCCCAACCACAGTAGCCCGCCCCACTCTCTTGGGGAGCGTCGGGCCCCTGGGGGCGAGGACGAGGAGACGACCACGACGAGGACGAACGGCAGGGGCGGACAACCGCCGAGGGCGGCGACGAACGCCGCCAGCGGCGGGCGGCGGCGGCGGGCGGCGGGCGCCGCTTCTCTCCGAGGCCACGGAGCTGCAGCGGCTGAAGTGGTCCGAGGGGCGGCCGGCGTGCGCCGCCTCGCAGCGGCCGGGCGGCGCGCGCCGGCCGCGGTCGCCGGCGCTCGTCGCCTCTCGTCGTTGTGCCGCTCGCCGATCGCCGTCGGCGTCCGCGCCGCTCGTCGGTCGCCGCTCGCCGCCGTCCGTGGCGGCTCGACGCCCTTCGTCGTCCGCGGAGCCAAGGGAGCTCCTTCCCCGTCATCGTCCTCAGATTCAGCATTCCCGCCAGTATCCTGCTCCCTCTTGTCCTCCTCCTCCTCATTTTCCTCCTCGCCTCCCTCCTCATGATCCTTGCTTTCACTCCTCCTGCTATTTTCCCTCCCTCTTATTCTTATCATCGTTGTCTGTCGCCCAGCCATGCTTGTCGCCATACTTTCCATCGGAGAGGGGGAGCGGAGGAGGAAGAGAAGGGAAGGAGGACCAGGAAAACAGCGGAGGACGTCAAGGAAAGGGGGCTCCCCCCTCCTTGACCTCCCCCTCTTCCCTTCCCCGTCCCTTCCATGCCCCTCCCCCTCCTCCTCCGCCCCATTCTCCCCCTCGAGCCTCTCCCCCTTTACCCTCCCCCTCCTCCTCCCCCACCTGCTCCTTCCAGCCTCCCACTCCCCCGTCCCCCGTCACCTCCTCCTCCTCCTCCTCCTCCTCCTCCTCCTCTTCCTCCTCCTCCTCCTCCTCCTCCGCCTCCTCCTCCACCACATCCTCCCCCGCTACCGCTCCCCTGGCCGGCGCGCTGGCCGCCTCCATCAGCGGCGGCAGGCTGCTCCCCGGAAGGGAACACGCGCCGGACGGCGGAATGAACGAAGAGAACCTCCGCTGCGTGCATCGCCGCCATCGCCGCCGTCGCCGCCGCCGCCGTCGCCGCCGCGGCTGCCGCAGCCGCCAATCGTCGCCGCAACCGCCGTCCCAGTCGTCCGTCGCCGTCGCCGTTGCCGTCGTCGCTGTTGCCGGCGTCGTCTCTGTTGTCGTCGAGCGAGTGGGGGGGAATGAGGGGGCGGTGAGCACCAAGGCGAGCAGGAGCAGGATGATGTCAGGGGGGGGGCAGAGGGGGGAAGAGGGAGATATAGGGAAGAGAAACAGAAGATCTCGATGACGAAGAGGAATGGTGGTGATGCTGATAACCACGATGATTATGCGGATGAGGATGATAATGACGATGATGTTGATGATGATGATGCCGATAAGGATGATGGCGATGACGATGAGGACGATGATGAGGACTACGATGATGATGACGATGGTGATGGTGATGATGATGATGCCGATGACGATGCGACTGTTGATGACGATGTTGACGATGATGACGACAACGACGACGAGGATGCTGATGCGGCTGCTGCTGCTGATGATGATGAGGATGATGACGGCGACGATGACGACGATGCTGCAGCTGCTGATGATGATGATAATGATGATGATCATGATGATTATGCTTATGAGTATGATGATGACGATGACGATGACGATGATGACGATGACGATGATGATGGTGATGATGCTGCTGATGATGTTGCTAATGGTGATGGTGATGATGGTGATGATGGTGACAACGATGCTGATGATGGTGGAGATGATGCTGATGCCGATGCTGATGACGAGGATGATGATGTTGATGACGAGGATAATGATGTTGATGACAGGGGCAAGCAGGCAGGAGGGCTGGAGGCTGGGCCGACTGCCCACGCAGAGGACAGAGGAGGACTGGCGAGGGTCTACAGGACATGGGGCGAGCGGCTTAAGAGGATCTGCCCCCATAATGGCGGCGCGCAGCAACGATCATAAAAGGGTGGCAGGGGTGAGGGGCGTGGCCTTCTCGGAAGGCAGGAGACCTCCAGCCTTGCAAGAGGCTAGCGCTGGAGGTGCCGCCAGGGGGGCCCAAAGCCTATTCAAGAAATTTGCGAGGACCTCCGAGAAATTACGTGCACGCTGTCGTTGTGTTTCGAAACGTGTGCGTGTCGATCGAAAACTTCTCAATGCGACGCAGGCGGCGGAGGGAGGGCCTGCCCATACTGCGTGCTGTCGGTGGAGCTGAAGGTGGGGGAAAAAACAATGGCATACACATAAACTTTCGTAGGTCCGCGCGTATTTTTCAGATCTGCGCTGGACCCCCCTCCTTGGCGCGCGGAGCGCGCCAGAGGCGGCGCTGGAGGCGCCACCATGGGGCTCCAGCCCAGCGCCGATCCGAGAAATCCGCGCGAGTCTCCCAAAGTTCATGCTTACGTCATTGCTTGCTCCCCGAGGGATCGGAACTCACGCAGCGACACGATCGTGCCCCCCCTGGGGATCTGTGGCCCCAGGGCTCGAGGCAAGGCAAATCCGCCCGCGGTGCCAAAATTGCAACTCTGAGATCTCAGGGGCTCTGGCGCGCCCCGCCGGCCACCAGGAAGGATGCCGAAAGATCTTCATCCGTACAGCTTGTCAGGCCCCTATATGCCGCCACGCTGGTTCCGGGCAGGCTGTGCTGTCCGGCGGAAGGGCTGGGCACGCGTCCCGAGGAACGTGTAAGCATCAACTTTTCGGAGGTCGTTGCCCAGGGGCCCAGGCCGCCCGCGAGGCCGCGGATACGGGCATGCTTGTCGCCCGCGGGAAGCGCCCCAATGCGACGCAGGCGGCGCAAAGAGGGCCAACACAGGCTCGTGCTGTCGGTGGAGCCGGCCGGGGAACACTCGGCGGCGAGCCCACGAAGGGGCGGGCCTCCCCCTCCCCCTCCCCCTCACCCTCCCCCCCCTACCCCCCCCCGCCCCCTCCCCCTCCTCCTCCTCCTCCTCCTCCTCCTCCCCCTCCTCCTCCTCCTCCTCCTCCTCCTCAGAAGGCTCGGAAGCCCCCCGGCCTTCCGGGAAATTTTCTGAAGCGTTCCCCGAAGACGTAAAGAACTGGTCAGGAGGCCGGAGGGCTTCCGAGAAGTCCCGCCCCCTTCTGACGAGCCTTCTCATTCTCACTTCCCCCTCTCATTGCTCGCCGCCGAAAAACGTGCGGCCAAGCGCGCATCCCTGGCCTGCCACACTACCCAAGGGAGGGTCGGAGGGAGAAGGACTGGCTCTGGGTATCGGTGCAGATTGTCGGACCCTGGGGAAGGCTACGAAAAATCCCCAGACCCCCCCCCCGGACAAGTTGGACAACCCATGCTGATCAATGAAGAAAGGACGACGTACCCTGGACAACCCCTTGGACAACCCAGCGGGGATCCAGACACCCCCCCTGGACAACCCCCCTTGGACAAGCCTCCCCAGCATTTCTCTTCCGTAAGATATAATACGGGTGTGGGTGCGTGTTGTTCGTTCGCCAATCCAGCTTCCCACGTTACGCACGGCTGCGTCCGCGCTCAGCGTCGCCGCCGCGGGCCGTCGGTCGTTGTCGGCGTCGGCGGCGACGCTTGGGCCGACTACAGAGCCCGAAAACCTCGACCTTCGAACCGCCAATGTCGAGGAGCGAGACATTGCATAAGCATGAGCTCCCAGAGGTCCGCGCTGATTGCTTGGAACGGCGCTGGACCCCCCTCCCCGGCGCACGGAGCTTGGGCGTCGCTTGATGGGCGGGAGATGAATTGGAGGGGGGAGCAAGGTGCACTTCTCGGGCCCTCGATTCCTTCTTTGGGGGGCTTAAGGGCCCCTGCAGGGGCCCTAAAGGGTTCCTTTGCTGCAGCTCTCGCTGCCCCCATTTGTCACCCCCCCATTACGCGACGCCAGCGTGAACGGTCTAGAACGGTTGCTCACACGTTAAGCACGTCCAAGCCCTCAAGCATCGACGCTCCGAGCCTTTCTCGGCCCCCCGTCCCACGGAAGCCCAGCTGCACGCTGTCCAGCTTGCCAGGCATACCTAATCAGCGTGTCGCATGGGCCGCGGCAGCCACGAGAAGTTCGCATAAACAAACAGTGTCGGAGGTCCGCGCCAAGCAACAATTCCTCACCGTAGCAGCGGGGTTACTCCAGATTTCGTAATAAAAGGGAGGGGGTCTGGACCCTCCAAGACAAGCCATTTCAGACCCCCCCCCGTGGGAAAACCCTCCAAAACATCGTCCCCAGACACCCCCAGGCCCTCCAAGATAGCCTGGAAGAGACCCCCCCCGAAATGAGACCCCCCTCCCTTTATTACGAAATCTGGAGTAGACGAAGCAGCGTCGCGCCGGCATCACAACAGCTTTCGGGGGCCCGTGCGGGCTTCTTCCGGCGCTCCCTGGCGCCTGGAGCGTGCCGAGAGCGGCGCCTGTGGGGCCGCCAGAAGGAGTCCAGCGCCGATCCAAAAAAACCCGCGCGGACCTCCGAAAGCTTCTGTTTCTCGCCCGACAAATTGGGGTTGTTAGATTTGAAGGAAGCGCCTCCCGACACGCCTCGCACACCCTGCATACCGCGGCCGTCAGGCCAAAAGAGTGCTACCTCTCCCTGGATATCCCGCCTTGTGCAAACTGCGGCCGCCAAGCCCAAAACCCGAAGAGCGCCCAGCGAGGATCCAAGGAATCCGCGCGGACCGTCGAAAGTTTCTCTTTCTGCAGCTTTGTGCCCTTCGACTGCAGTAGACGGGCCAGCGGCGCCACATCCCACGCTGCCCTTGCGACGCCAACTCGTGCGTTTTTTTCACTTGTTCGAGGCCGCCGTCGTCGTCGTCGTCGTCGTCGTCGTCGTCGTCGTCGTCGTCGTCGTCGTCGTCGCCGTCGTCGTCGTCGTCGTCGTCGTCGTCGTCGTCGTCGTCGTCGTCGTCGTCGTCGTCGTCGTCGTCGTCGTCGTCTTGGGGGGGCGGCAGGGCCTGCTCGGCGAGGCCGTCGCGACGCTGGACCTGCCGCCGCGAGCGCGGCGGCGCGGTGGCGCGTCGAGGAGGCACGGCGCGAAGGCCCCGGGCGAGCGGGTCCGGGGCAGCGAGCGCCGCTCCACCGGTCCGCACTGGGACGCACCAGGACACACCTCGGCTCCTCCTCCTGCTCCTCCTCCTGCTCCTCCTCCTGCTCCTCCTGCTCCTTCTCTTCCTCCTCCTCCTCCTGCTGCTCCTCCTCCTCTTCCTCCTCCTCCTCTTGCTCCTCCGCCTCCGCCTCCTCCTCCTCCTGCTCCTCCTCCTCCTCCTCCTCCTTCTCCCCCTCCGCCTCCCCGGATGGACAGACCCCCCTTTAGTCAAACGCGGTTTAGGGAAAACGACCCGAGGCCCAAACCTGGCGGGCGCAAGCCTGGAAAATAACGGCCACGGCGCCCTCTCGAGAACCGAAAACGGACAATTCACTAATCGACGTGTCACTGTTGGGGGTTCTGTCCACCCCCGCATACCTAGGGGGCCACGTGCAAACCCTGCCCCAGCCCCCCACGTTCGAAGTGAACCCCATCCTCCCCATCAGGAATCGCGGGGGGGGGGGGGGGGTAGGGTTCGCACGTGGCCCCCTTTAGCAAAACGTGGTGTAGGGAAAACGACCCGAGGCCCAAACCTGGCGGGCGCAAGCCTGGAAAACAACGGCCACGGCGCCCTCTCGAGAACCGAAAACGGACAGTTCACTAATCGACGTGTCACTGTTGGGGGTTCTGTCCACCCCCGCATACCTAGGGGGCCACGTGCAAACCCTGCCCCAGCCCCCCACGCTCGAAGTGAACCCCACCCTCCCCCTCAGGAAACGCGGGGGGTGGGGGTAGGGTTCGCACGTGGCCCCCTGATACAAATACCTCCTAGGAGGCGTGCGTCCGACCCGAACATCTGGTAGAACCATCTTGTAATTTTGCTTCCCGAGCGGTGCGGCCAGAAAGCGTCCGCGGCCGCGCATATGCTATCAGATTTCTCGGCGGGCGCGTCGCCCCTGGGAGGGCGACGCACACATAGTATTAGTATGTTGGCTCGCCGCCGACCTATCCCCGCTGGCGTGCAAAACGAAGCCAGGACGAAGATACAATCGGACGAACATACATCGGGAATCTCTGAGATCAGGCGGCTCTGGAGGATGTCTCTTGCGCCGCGGCCTGCTCAGAGCGCTCCGGAACGCTCGGAGAGCGTTCCAGAACGCTCTCGAACGGATTTGTACTCGTCCCAGCCCCGCCCGAACTTGGCCTGGGCCCCACGGGCCGAGCTAACCCCTCGGTGGGGATCAAGGCTGTTCCCTCTGGGTTTCGAGGGGCCTCTCCACAACTGGGGCGGCGGGATGGTGGGGCTGAGGTGCCATGGCCTGGTGGGGATGGGGAAAGGTTGAACGATACTGAAGGAAGCGAGGAGAAGCAGCAATATATCACCGCCCTAGCTCCGCCTGGTTTAAAAGGGGGCTTCGCAAACCATGGCCAGTGGCGTGTGCGCGGACGAGGGGAGGGGCAGGGGACGTCTTGAAATAATGAAAGAAACTTGTCCTCCTTGGTCCTCCTTGGTCCTCCTTGGCCTCCTTGGCCTCCTCCTCCTCCTCCTCCTCCTCCTCCTCCTCCTCCTCCTCCTCCTCTCCTTGCCGTTATGAAGAACTGCTCCCTGTCGCACCCCGAGTCCAGTTTTTAGGGCGGGCCAGGCGTTTCGCCTAAGACCACCTCACCCTTTATGACCCTGAAGCTTAAACATTGGCCACAGTTTCACAGATGGAGGGCGGTTGGTTTTCAAAATGTGGCTCTCGCCTTCGCGTCGCGCACAGTCGTTGAAAACATTGCAGGAGTTTCACGGCTTGAGGGCGGCTCCTTTTCGAAATGTGGCTCTCGCCTTCGCGCCGAGCACATTCGTTCTTACAAATTGCAGGAGCTTCACGGATTGAGGGCGGGTGGTTTTCAAATGTGGTTCTCGCCTTCGCGCCGCGTACATTCGTTTTACACATTTGCAAGAGCTTCACGGCTTGAGGGCGGCTCCTTTTCAAAATGTGGCTCTCGCCTCCTCGCCGCGCACATTCGTTCTTACAAATTGCAGGAGCTACACGGATTGAGGGCGAGTGGTTTTGAACATGTGGCTCTCGCTTTAGCGCCTTGTGCATTCGTCTTATACATCTGCAGGAGCTTCACGGATTGAGGGCGGTTCCTTTCAAAATGTGGCTCTCGCCTTAGCGCCGCGCACATTGGTTTACAACCTTTCTAGAGTTTCACGGATCCCCATGACCACTGTACTAGACATGGTGTTTGGGAAAGAATCAGGATTATGCGGGTGCAATAGTTATGTTGATTAGCGGTGTCGAAGTCCCAGGAATGGCGTTCTGGCACGATTCAGGCTCGTCAAGACACAAGGGGTCAGGTTGATCCGTGGCATTGGAATCCCGAGAACACTGTTTCGGCATGCTTCAGAATCTTCAAACGGTTGTCTTCCGACGAGGCAGTTCCCTAAGTGGAAATGAACTGCTGTAGGAGCCTATGAAGAGGGAGCTTGAAGGGAGGGTTATTGCAACATCGTTGATGACTCTTGAGTTTACACTGGTCCTCCTCCTTCTCCTCCTCCTCCTCCTCCTCCTCCTCCTCCTCCTCCCCCTCCT